CAGTAAGAATTAAAAACATGCTGGAATACTACAAAATTTCAAAGTATAGTATTTGAGCCACCACACTTTTACGATAGGCATAGAACGCTTTATCATTCTAAATAGAAATTTGAATATTTAAAGATATTATTTTTCTTTGTTAACAGCTCAAAAGGACTTTGAGATCTTCACCTTGCTCAAGATGACCTTGGCTTTGGACAGACACAACTTTGCTACGGACCTCCAGCAGCAACTCAGCTAAGCTCTCTTCTCCTCAGCTCTTCATTTGTACAAGGAGGATAAAACCAGCATCTTTCTCCCTCTCTCTCCAGATTAATAGCTATTTTAGGCCAAATAATACGTTTTTTTTTTTAAAAAAAAACATAGACTATAACTGTCCCACTTTGGGACTTCTAGGAACACGATAAGAATAATTTTTTTCACACTTCAAAAATGCGTAGAAGAACAAATGATAAAGTTCATCACATTTGTAACTCCTTTTAGAATAAAATTCTAAAGATCTCATAAATTGAAGAAATGAAAGCAATTTAGGACTTCCACTGAAAAGAAATGGTTTGAACAACATGGTTTTAGACTACAGCCCACATTCTGGCTACTCTTTGAAGTAGCAAACCCTCAAATTCCAGAAGAGGTTACTCTGACCACAGAACAAGGTTCTTCAATGATGTACGCGGCAGGAGACAGCAGTAATAAACTGAAATGGGGAGCTGCTGACTGTACACAAGGAAAAAAAAAAACCCTGCAAGAATAATAAAATATTGGAACAGGTATTCCCATGAGGCTGTTGCATCTCAAGACTCAAGCAGACAAAACCCTAAGCAAGCTGGTCTGAACTCAACGTTGACACTGTGCTCTGCACAAAGTTGCACTAGATGATCTCCTGAGATCATTTACAACTGGAATTATTTTGATTTACCTGGCTACCCAAATGTACATGTTTTTTTCTCCTTGTACCCTCTGAATGAGATTAAGATAAGGATAAAATACCATAGCAAAAACCTCTTTTATGAAAGTGGCAGGATATAGTTTAAGCACAAGATTAAGATGTATAGCATATCTGTTTTTACCTGTGATTAACATGCAAAGTAAAATTTATAAAAAGTTATCGCAAAGACAAATTTTTTCCTCAGCAAATAATTAAAAAAAGATTTTTTCCAAAAACCAACAGATCTTCCTACAAATACTTCTGACAGTGCCTTGCTAGGAAAAATTATGGTATAACAGACATGAAATTTTGCTGTACGAATAAGAGATTTTGCTGCATATCCTACAGAACACCACAAGTACCAACAAACTTCTCAGATGTACAAAATGGACTGCTGACAATTTTGGATATTTTACTGATCCTTATTGCCAGTAATTATTAATCAAGGGAAACCAATGAACTACCTCAGAAAAAACATTTTAAATGGTGACTTTTTTATAATAAAGATTTAAAGTTTAAAGTTTAAAACAGTTCAAAAAAACCCACCACTCCACTTTTTTCTTAATTTAACATATGAGTGCAACACAGTAAATTAATGCTTGTGGAATTAAAGATACTATGTTACAGTGGGTTTAGTGTACTTATATTTTCCTTAAGAGGTGAGGAACAGCTGCTAAGTTAAAGTCCAAAAAAAAAAATTATTTTTAACATTTGGCAAAGGTATATAGTTCTCTATACAGACATTTCAAAATGTATGTTGGAAATAAATATGAAATGTCAATATTTAGCTTTATTCCAGCTCTTTAATGAAACTACTGTTTCTGTGGAATATTCTAAATATGTATTACAACTTCCATTGCACAGACTGGAAAAGTGGAGGGGGTAAAAGAAAGCTTTATTAGTAAGTACAAGATGAAACAGCAACTAGCCAGGTTGCCCCACTGGCCATATTTCAGCATGTTTACTTTGACTTCATTCACAGAAATAAATTAAAAAAAAAAAAAGCCAAAACAAGCTTTTTCTCTCTGGGTTCTGATAACGTTGACCTTCAGTTAAAATTCACTGATCTGTTGAGTTTATTTTACATACAGCTAGAACATTATTATCCTAAAAATTGCAATATATGGTACACAGTCATGAAAAAGCACACTGCATGTGCAAGAATATGTATGTAAAGTAATAAAGTCAGTATTTAGAGTTACTTCATGCGTCCTACTGGACAGTCCTAAAATGGTCATTAAAGCAGTTGGCATTTAATCCACAGATCTGTATGAGGGTTTTATTTTTATATAAGGATTTTATATGACTTTTTATTTTTGCTCATTGGCTTTAAGAAGATATAAAACGACTTTTTTTTTTAACTGATGAGAATTATATGTATCCGTATCTTTAAATTGCAATCATACACCCCTGTCCTACTAGGTGTTTGGAACATGTGTATCCAGATGAGGACAGCTAACGAAGAAGTTAACAAGTTTTTGCTTTCTACCAGTGACAGGGCAAACTGCTTTTTAATGCTTTAGCTAGTCAAGGTGAACCTGAGGCTCCTCAACAGAATTCATTTCAACTTCCTGACACATGAAAATAACCTCTGCCCCGGTTATTCTTCACTAGCACAACCATGACTGCTTCACTGACTATAAGCCACAGCAATTTTTATGGGCACAGACCTGCCCTGAGGCAGGTTTAAAATTAGCTAATCTGTTATTTTGGACTTTGTTTTTAAATACATCTAATCTCAGTCAAAACACACCATATTAAAATCTTCTGTGCCACATGTTCACTATAATTTTTTGCCAGACAATTATACTAGTAAAGGTATAATGAATAATGATCTTGGACTCACATAGCTACATACACGAGCCAAAGCCCACCGGTATAGTGGCTACTACACCAGCAAAATCACCTCTGCAAGCAGTTCTTCTTTTGCTGGCGCTAAGAAAGAGCAGGTACTTCCCTGAAATAGGCTTAGCTCGAGTTGTCTAACTGGACGCCATATTAAGGCAGCCATGCACATGAAGCAGTCAAACCTGACCTAAGAAATCCCCTTGAGCCCTAATGTATATGTTCTTCTCTCAGTTAATCTAAAATCAAAATACATTTTAATATAAGTGATTTTGCCAACCAGGATCATAAAAGTCATACACATTCCATAGCCCAAGCTCACCCCCCAAAATCAAGAAATTAATTAGAAGTGGTATTCATAACTTGGGGGATTCTTTCTATTTCTAAGCTTTTAAGGATGCACTTGCCAGAAACATGACAGATGTAAACTTCTTTTTAATGTGAAACCTGAGAATGTAATTTTATCTGACTGTAGCAGCTAGACATGTATGAAAAACAAACATTACCAGACTTCCAGTGATCTCAAGTACTGGCAGCAATGCCGTAAGAAGAGCTGTAATTGAGAAATGCTTAGATGGACAAAAATTCCAGAAATGTTTAGATGGACAAAAATTTATTCACATTCAAAATAAATATGCCAAAGATTATTTTCTTGAAGAGAACAAAGACCGTCAAAGATGACATCTGTGTCAAACAACACAAAAAATTATTTAAAAAAAAAAAAAAAAAAAAAGAAAAAGAAAAAGCACTTAGTGAGCAAGTGTGGTATGACAGTAGTGTGACTTACTGGAAGGCTTATCTCCTTAATGGATTTAATAGCTAGTGAGGTCTAAATTAATTACTGGTATAGTCCCAAAAATTGTATTTTGACAAAATAAAAAGAATCCTATTTCAACATTTCTATTGGAGCCGGAAAATAAGAAAAAGCAAAAGGAAAAACTTCTAGAAAAAATAAGTCAGAAGTAATTAAATATTCTACTGCATCATTTTTTTTCCACAAAAACTACCTAAATTTTCTTTTACTCTTTATGCAATTTAAAAGGCAGCAAAATTGATTCATATGTCTACTAGCTTCCAAACAACCAGAAGCTACTAATTTTTCAATTGCCTGTTACATAATCAAATTTGCTATAAAAATCAGAATTAAAAAAAACCTAACTGAAAATGCAACTGTAGCTTCAGAATATTCTATTATGAAATTAAAGGAACCCTTAGTGGAATTGTTTGGTAGCTCTAATATGATTTGTCTCACAGGAAATATGATACTACAGCTTTACAAAAGATGAACACTTACTTTTAAAATATTTATAAATTTACATTAATATCATCCATATATACCATGACGCATTTTAATAATTATTCTACAATACAATGGGAGTGCATGCTCAAACAAAACACCTCAGCAGTATTTTAAAGCAGTAAACCACCTAGCCAATTTCTGTACGTTCTGTAGTTTTTCTAATCCACTCTCCCTGTGGTTGAGCAAAATCGAATTGCCTCTCACATTTGCAGACAGCTCTGTGAAGGTGATAATAGAGCTGCTCCCTGCTGTCATGAGGCAGGAAATAGGAAAATGGCATATGGGGCTAGAAAGAAATAAAAAGAGAACTAAACAAGAACAAAAGAGATTTCAACAAAGGACAACTATAACCCAATATGCTTTGCAAGTTAATCTCTTTTCATAATCATTTAACATACTTAATCATTTATCTGCACACTTCTCAAAAACTCAAATGCTTGATACCAAGTCTTCTGTAAAGTTTTATTGCCCAAAACATTTGGAATAGAAATGATACTAAAAGCCATAATATGCAACGCCTATAAATCAATGCCGCCTTAGTACCCACGTTAAGGGGCTGAACCTATTCCAATCTGTTAGTAATTGATCTTAGATTTTGTGGCTAAAATGTAATATCTGAAACAATGTATACTTCGATTATTAGTTGCAAACATGTTGAGTGACACCTGAATAGCAAAATATTAAGGGAGGATTATGATTGGTTATGTGTACCGACATTATCAAAGACTTCCAGCCTGTTTAAGGACTACTGATGTAAGATGCAGAATAAACTAAAAATAATCTTTCATTTACAATGAGAATTGTTTTTTAATTTTTATTTTTTAATGCAGAATGGGCATCCAAAAAAAATCAAGAACTTACACATATTTACAGTGCTTCTATATTTAATCTTACCGAAATACCTTAAAAAAAAAAGCAAGCCTACTATACCTTTCCTTTTACACTCTGAATGGGATCCACCACCACAGCAACAGCTCTTTCTGATAAGGCTTCAAAGCTCTGCTGAGTATTGATATCTACACCAGACAACCAACAGCCAAAGCCAGGGTGACTATGATACCAACCAACTACCATCTCAGGTCTGAAACAAAGAGGACATTGAGATTCTCAAAAATAAAAACACGTAACACAAGAAGAAATAGTAATGTATCAGGGCATAAATTAGGATGAGCTGTGAAAAAAACACCAGTAGAAATATTTAAATTACTCACCATAGTATGGTGAAAACATGAACATGAATAAATGCGACAAAAGAGGGCTATCATTAAGGGATGCACATTAGCAGTGGTAGATCATGCTTTCAGTTTTTCACCCTGTTACCGCACCTTCCCTGAACCAGTTTTTACCCTTTCAGCACTTGAGTAAATATCTACTCTTTAACTCCTTGGCGTCAAGGGTTGAATTTTCACGGCAGAAAGTCCATTTCAGACATGGACAACGGGAACCAACGGTGGGAAAGGATTAAATATCAATTAAACCAGCAGTAGAACTAGGAACTCAGTCAAAAAGCAATTTGCACTGTTCTGTTCAGCTGCTGAGCCTTTTGCTAACATTAATTTTGAAGTTTTTCCCACAGTAAAAGAATTTGAGCAAGCAGACGACAACTGTTGAGAGGTAGGAGTGAAATAAAAATTTGTTTAAATACTAGGATCTTTTACAAAATTGTTTTCCCTTTCTTTTCATTAAAATTGCTCATAAATAAATTACAAAGTTGTGGCTTATTTATTTTAATTAAAAGAAATTAAAAAATCAATCTTTTAAGCAGGTACTGTCTAGTAACTGCCTATACTAATTTGAGCAGCATTCTAATCTTTCTGTGCAATAATCAAAGCTGTAGGTTTACCATGACAATTGACATGCATGAGGTGGACTGAACTACATGCTATGCTACTCACCTGATTTGTGGGCCAATTATTTCTTTTTAAACATTATTAATAGCCCCTAGATCACTAGTTTTGCGGAAAGCCAGCTGTTTCTTCTAAACAACATGCAGGGAGTACTTGTTACTGTCAGCCCTCTTTAGGGTGACTTACCTTCCCGTCTGTTTCAGCATATCCAACATTTTTGCTTGAAATACAGGATCAACTGCCTCCACACTGACACCCTGATGTAGAACACAGACAAAAATCATAGTAGTTGTACATAAAGCAATATTATCTTTTAACTTGTTACTTTCCACAAACAAGAATTTAAACACCATTCATAAGCATCTGTTTAAAAGGGCAAGCCAACTACTTTAGAACTACTTGATAGAACACCTTTAAATGTAAAATACAATTGTAAAAAATCTATTTCAATGTGATTTTTAAAATGCTCAAAGAAGATTTTGAATTGCTATTTAAGTCACTCTACTACGAGTAAACATGATTAAACAGCCACAGGAATTCATCTTTTCCTCCTCTTTTTGTTCTGCAAACTCTGGCCTGTCGTTTCTCACAATTTCAGCTCCACAGGTTTTATTCAAGATAAATATCACATACTGGTTTTTTGCAGATTCTACTTATACTATGCACATGCATAGAATAAACTTAGGACAAAAGAATTCAAAAATTTCATTGATGTGCAGCTCTGAGTCACAAAAGGATCCATGCTTCTTTTAAGAACAATATTTCATTCAAGTTACACAAAAAAGCATCATAAATTCAAATTATACCCATTGACTCATCATCCCTTTAAAATATCTCCTCATAACATGAATATTCTTACTCAAAATTAAAATGCATAATTTTTTTCACATCACAAAAATATCATTTAAGAGACATGTCACTGTAAGATCTGTCACAGGGAGCAAGTTCGAAGTATATCTAGAGCACCATCACAATTAAGGGCATGATACACTTCTAATCAAACCTTTTACATTTTGAATCCTTCCCCTGGCTCATAGTATATGAGTTCTTAAAGTTATCAATTTATAAATCTTATTATACCAATATATTTATACATACGTAAAGACATAACATCTCCATATATTGATATACACACTAATGTACTAGTTTTTGCTAAAAAACAAAACAAAACAAAAAAACCCCCAACAAGCTATTTTAACTCATTTTTTTTAACTGAAATCCTTAAATCCACTAGACATGTTTGAATTATACCTAGTAGGTTATACCTTAAGATTGCATAAATGAGGTAAAGCAGAAAAAGCTTTAAAAAATATTTACCATAAGGAAAAAACAAACAAGCAAACAAAATTATCAAGGTCTAGCTGCAAAGAACTCACCGTTCCTGACTGTGGCATTGCAAAAACATCAATCACTCTCACAGTGTAATCATCAACAAATTCCCCAAGCATCAGACCCATAACTTCCATAGGGACACCAGCACGACCATGCTTCAACATCTGGAATTAAGACCAAATGACACTGTATGTTTAACAGGAGGTTCAAGTTTGACTTGGGACAGTTCTTTCAGCCTCTGTTGATCTATAGATAATTTGCAACTTGTAGCACTTTTGGAAACTGCAAGAAACTATAAAATAGTAAAAATGAAGTCAACAAATGAGAAGTAATTAAAATAAGTTTCTTACTATAAGCATTCCAAACAGTAATAATTTATTTAAAAAATTAGTCTGACCAGCACCTAAGGAACACAAGTCCATAAACTTTGGATAGGTGCCAGGTGCTCTATCTCCAGCACTATACACAGATGCAGTACACAACTGTACACAGATGCAGTACACACAGAACACTTACTTTCAACAGTGCGAGGGAAGAGATATAAACCTGTTCCGCTGTATCAACTGCAGGAGCATCTGTTGGTGGCCCCTATGAAAAGAACAAATAATTATTTTCTCCACCATTGTTATTCTGCAGTTTCTAAACATTTTCTTTTGTTTTCCATATTACAAAACTTACCCCAAACACTTCTTTACAGCACCTTCCTTCACTAATCTATTTTGTAATACAAGTCACCTAGCCATCACCCCTTGTCTCCCCCCACCCCAAAACAATACCAATCTAAAGAGCAATCTTATCGGAATCAGTCAAATAAAAAACTGGCAAGTATTGCACTGGGTACAAACCCGTTACAAGACATCCAGGCTAAGAGTCAGATAAGTTTCCATTAGTCAGCCTTGCTGCAATGCTAACCTTCGTCAGCTGTAAAATACGGCCAGTTCTCCAATTAACTATGTGTTTCTTACAGTGGTGTGAATGTAAATGCTGCTGGGCTAGCATGATTAACTGGCACCAACACAAACAGCAATTTCCCTTTGCTTCATCAGCTTTCAGCTAAAGAGGACTTGCAGATAAAGGCTATGGGAGTACTTTGCAGATACACCGGTACAGTGAGAGAAAAAACGGACCTCCGATCCCTAGGTGGAAAAGCTGTGAACAAAATACTTTGCTCTTTGCCTTATGAGTAGTTATTCAAAAATTAGCACAACTGTCCCAGGTGTGAATGATTGGTTGAAACAGGTTCCGTGTACCGTTGAAAATGAAAAACACAGGAGGCAGCAGTTTAAATGTCTCTTTCTCGAGGAGCAAGAGACATATTGCTCTTATATACAGAATTCCGTATCAGCGTACCTCATTACAGCCAATTAACAGTACATTCATTACTTTATTACCAAATTGTGTACAACGAATTTCCACTGAAAAGACAAAAGGTTACTTCCGCACTAAGTGATGTAAACCTAGAAGGGCAACAAAGCAACTACGGAGTATGGTAAAAAAAAGATACTCCACATTAAGTAAAAGGAGGAAAAAACCAGTGTCTTTACACAAACATTTTGTAGATTTAGAACTTTGATTCCACAGTTATAAGCAAAATTGGGCAAAAAAAGAAAAATTTTGAGTAAAGTCTTGATTTTTCACTTAAAGTGGAAAAATTCAGTACAACACGCGTCCACATGACATCAAACATAAGACACAGCGATCGACACAAGCCATCACCTGAAGATAAAACCGGGAACTTAAGTAATCAGCATAGTAAATTTGTATAGTAATTGTCCTTTCTGCATACTTTCATTTTTACACACACAGGAAAACATCATCTAGTCTTCAGACAGTAAGAAAATTCAGTTGGTTTCCCACCACCCCCAATGTCAATGAATTCCTTCTCTATTAGCTCCAGATCCAATCTTTATATTTTGAAATTCACATACATGCATGGATCTGTGTCAACCACAACTGCTTCCTAACACCTTCAAACCTTTATTTCCAACTTTGATACTGTTGACCATCACCTCTTGATATTTGCTCTCCCTCACTTCTTACTACTCATTGCTAATTTTTCTGTCACTTTGGCCTTTCCATCAGCAATCTTCCAGCAGGTTTAAATTTTCACCTTCTGTAAGATTCTCACCAAAGGTCCATCTTTAATCAATTCCCCCACTTCATCAAGTATTTCCCGGACTAGCCATAGCCCAACAGTGAGATCTCCAGTGGAAAAGTGTTCCTCTAACACTTACAATGAAAAACTCTTGAGCAGTTCTTCAGAACATTTCACAGAACCAGATGCACAGGGCACCCGAAACACTTCTTCCAAATTTACTACAACTAGATTGTTTGACTGACAAAGCTTCAAATACCCAGTCATTTTCTGATACTGTTACTAAGTCTTTTTCTCCATAAACATGCAAGTTTACTTTCTTAACTGTATCTCTCCTGCTTTAAGTCTATTCTAAATTATCTTCTTTTCACTTAGAAGTCTTAATACTTTGGAAAGCACAAAGACTCATACTTCCACTTAATCACTGCTAAGAATAAAGCACAGATGAGTTGGGTTTTAATTAAAAAAAAACTTACTAGTTTGATACAACCACCTTCTTCATACATAAAGTTCTCTTCCAATTTTCTACCAGTTCTAGACCAGAGAGGGACTGAAGTGAAGGTAAAAGTACAAACACAGTAACCTTCTGCTTTAGGAAGAACCGTAACATCCATGCTGTTATCACCATATAAATTCTACATTTGTCCCAGATTTTGTTTAACATTTCACTGTAAGCAAGCATCCCATTACACCCTTCAGTATTTTTTTAAAATAAAGAATGGCATAAAAAAAATCTCCCCCCAACTAGCATAAGTAGTTCTGTGATTTCTAGAAGGATAATGTTGATACTTGATTGAGACTAGCTTCTCAAAAATCAGGAGCTTGAACTCAAGTTTATTCCAGAGACCATGGCTCTTGAATATGTAATCTCTAATGTCTGTTAAGATGGCAGATCACAGTGACACCCTTCCTGCAGCCGAGGCATTAATCACATCTCTGTCCCCAATGTAGACACCTGTGTTCACAACTTGTAAGAGTTTAATTATTCTTCGTAACTTTTCCCATTTTAAAATCTATTTAAAATCAGTCAGTAGATTGAACACTTATAGGGAGGAGACAAAACCAAACATGATTACATTTTGTTTCTGTAACAAGGCAAGTAAGTTACCTTTAGTTTAAGCTAAGGTAGGAACTAAAGCAGGGTGTTAGCATACTGCACTCATTCCTAATCTTTCCTTCTTTTAGTATTTCTATGCTCCTTGGAGCTTTCAAATGCTTGTTTACCTTGATGATGGTCCAGAAGAGGGGATATTTAATATTATACTTTATCAACCCTTTAGGCATTCTATGAGATAAAGTAGTTTCTGTCTTCAAAACTTATGTTAAAGTTCTCCTGCCAGCACCCGTAGCCAACAATTCATTTTCAGCATAGGAAACGTTGCTAATTCATAAAGGAATGCTTCACTGGTGTAAATCAACTTGCTCAGCATCTTTTTTTTTTTTTTTTTTTGAAGCCATAGTATTCACCGTAAATGATTTTGTACACTAAATGTCAGTTTAAATATATAATATAAATGACTACACTAAGCATTAGGAGATATTAACTGCAAACTTCACTGTTTCACTTTAAGCACGTGCCCAAGATAGTAAAAATGTTAAAGATTAGCTTCCACTCTTATCATGCAGTTAACCAACTTACCTGAACTCTTAAAAATTAGCTAATGGTAGTATAGAATGCAAATATAATGTAGGTTTATTAATTCTCAGTCATCTTATAAAATACAGCACATATCAAGTATTTCTTTGGTCACAGACGCTTCTTTTGTGAAGACCTCACTATCTCCTTTCAGTTTGCTCTGTTCTCCTCATAGATTATAATTACTAGCTAAATTATGAGAAAAGGAAACAACCCATTGCACTGTACCAATTACGTGTATTAATTTTCATGTTAATATTCCTTCATTTTGAATATAGATTAGAATGAACTGCTCAAAAGCGTTCTGAAATTATTCTGATGTACCAATTAATGAATTTTGAGGAGGAAAGGATCCATAGGTCAAAACCTGTCCAGAATCTACCTTCACAACAGATTTAGTTTCATATTACTTTTCTACCAAAGATAAATTGGCACATAAAATACTATAGGCACACGTGTCTCTCTCTAATTTCTAAGAAAATTATAAACCCAAAGTTCTTCAAATTCTTAACCTAAAACTTTTAAAGATTTAACAGATAAAACCAACAGAATAGATCTTGGGTCTTCCAAGTAGTTTGCTTGGCTTTAGACGATGCCATTTGAAAAACAGACATTTCGATACTGGAACCAATTTACTTCCCTCTCTGACCACTTCCTTTTCCATAAATGGCTGATAATGTAACACAGCCTTGGAGCGACAGCCGCATCTTCTGCGTACTAGTTACACAGTGTGTGGGAGCTAGCTATGGGTTACATGTTTTGAGATTTCTTTGGCCTGTTTCTGCTAGTCTTCCACAGAAGTTTATGCATTTCTTTCATGATGCAAAGAGGAAGAAAGACTTTATTAGCTAATCTCTACATGGAGGCAAAGTATTTTACACTGACCCTCCACAGCATGTGCTATTATCACTGTTCATAAACTTCACTGCCTGCCAACTTTCACAAAGGAGCACCATCCTTACGAAGCAGAGTACCAAATTAAATTAACTGGTGTCAGAAGCCCAAACAAGAAAGCATTTGTATCTGCAATGCAAAAGATCTGCTGGCATTTTTGGTTATATTATGGTATTCAAATAAGGTCAGACAGTTCTCCCACTGCATAGAGTTTTGTAAGACTGTTCATCTCACTGCAAAACAGCGAATACTGCCTTCATTCTGCCTGCTTGCAGCTTTATTGGATAATTTCTTGGGCAACTGGAGAAAAATGGGATTTGGAAACAGCAAGGAATATTGAGCATTCTTTTTCCCAAGCATTCCTGTATAAGCTGGATACAGTAATTATTAAAATTCAAAAACTGTTCTAAAAGATACTGTCATTGTGCTACTTACTGAAAATGGATGTTTCCTCTGAATCAACTATACATGCTGTCAGTCAGTGAAATGAGCTGCCTGACAGCCAGCCATCTTGTAAAACCTAACCAAACTCTGGTTTTGTTTTTCTTTAGAATGGCAGAATCCCAATTTCAATAATAATTGATAAAATTAAGTTACCACTATTAAAATACATTTTATTTTCGCTTAATTTTTTTCAGTAAGACTTGTAATGGAAAAGGAATCACGCTGAAGTTATGGACAGAAGATTACATTGTAATACTAAATTATGCATGATACTATTTTTGTTTCAAACAGTTAAAGAGATGATCCAATATAAAAAGCAGTCCTTTACTTGGGCAGCCCTTGTTGACGAAGTGTTAAAGGCATTTGCCATTCTAACAGGATAAAAACTAACGCCTTGAAGTGTTATCTACTCAGGCCTTTTAGCAAATTTGTTAACACTTTTAGGTATATTACTCCACCTTTCTCTTAGTGTGAATGGTATCAATTATTTAGCCAATTTTATTATGTTATTAAAATACC